TTCATTTGAAAAGTAAATATTAGATTTGGTAATCTGCCCCCTTGTCGCCTCAACTCCCTCCTTCTTCCTTTGGGCGGCCGGCGACGAGGCAGACACACTTGTCCCCTCCCTTGTATGTTCTTCGCGTGCCATGACCGGCATTAGGCGAGTCGACCTCTGATGTGTTTCAGTGGATGTTGGGTTTCGGTCGTCATGTGCGATGGCGAGGCTGACGTCCTCATGCCCCTCCCCCCTATTTCGCGCTTTTTGTCTCAGGGGTCACCCTCCATGCCGGGTAGCGGCTAATCTTCCTTGTGTTTGGAGTGGGTTGCTAGTGGGTTGTGGCCGTCGGGTGCTGATTGAAGATGGTCGTTTGCAATTTTGCATTGAAGACTTAGTCGGAGTCGACGGTCTCAGATTTGGCTAACCATAGCCGATTTGGAGTGTGGAGTTCCTAGCTGGTGTTCTTGGCTGACGTGAGGCTCTTCTTTGTAAATTTTCTTTGGTTTGTTATCTTGGGAGGTTGTAGTGTAGGTGATGTTAGACGTGGCCAGAGAGGGCTTATTGTATCAATTAAGTGTGTGTGGTAGTTGTTTTGTTTGCTTTTCTTTTCGTTTTTTAGTTTAAGTCCAGTTGCGTAAGGTACTAGTCTCCTTCAAGGAGTTGTCTAGTCTCTTTTTTTGAGTTTGTTTGTACCCTTGATCATCTATGTAATATCTCAAGCGGTGTTGTTCCAGTCTTTGTACTGGTTCTAATAGTGTCCGTTGATACCTTGAGTTTTCAATTTTAATATAATTATTGTTGAGAAAAAAAATAGTGTTAGAGGTTTGATTTGTCAAAACGTTTAATTCGAGTGTTTGATAAATAAATGATTCAATTAGTTTATTGAATTCAAAAAGTTTATTTTTGAAAAATTAAATAATCATATACTAGCTTTTTAAACGACGGTTTGTGAAGAGAGAATCAGTTTCCAAACAAAAATAAACTATTTATTTCCACTGTTGTCCTAATTCCCTAGGTCCCCTCACGCAAGAACAATAGTCAATTTCTCTCGTCGTCGCCTCCTCTTTGCAGGGCTCTCTGCACGGCCTGGAATTGTCCACCGCTGACCACAAAGCTTGCCCTTCTTGGAGCCGCGGATCCCCCCAGGTGTAGGGCTCGTCGATCTAAAAGGTGCCTATGTCACAAAGTGGGGCTCTTGGGGTTCCGAGTTAGGGGCGTTCAGCGAGCTCCTACCCGACTCCTTAGCGCACGTCGGGGATGAGGTTAGACTCCCTCTCTCCTTTCTCCGTCTCCCTAGGTTTGGTGGTCTGGGCTTGGTCGGTTGGTTAGCCGTGGGGCTGTTTGGTGGCTTGTTGGTTGGTGGGTCGGTCGGTCGGTCGGTCGGTTAGCGGGGGTTGATGGTTGGAGGGGTGAGGGGGTCGTCTTCTGATCTCAGCTCCAAAGGCTGTTTTTCTGAGAGAAGATTTTGGTCATCTGGTGCGGTTCCAGCTAGCTATTGCTACACTGGAGTTTCTGGAGTAGTGCTCGGGCCGGAGTCCTATCTAAGTGGGCGGTTGCCTTTAGGTGTCGGGCCGCGGCGTGTTGCAGTTTGTTTCACCTGTGAAGAGGAGGGTATTATTCCATCTTACTTGTGTTTTGTGTTGTTTTTGTTGGTGATTTTGTTGTAGTTTTGTGATTCTTTTTCTTGTTTTAGTTGTTTATTCTCCTCTTGTAGGAATTGTATTCTTCCTTTATGGGATCTGTATAGTTTGTTTGTCTTGTAGGTGATTTAGAGGAGTCTATCTAGGCTCCTCATGTCGGGTAGTCTCTCGGTAGATTCAGCCAGATGACTGTTTGACTAATTTTAGTTATTGTCTAGTTGTAATTATGTGTTTTTTATCTATAAATCTATCGTTTCAAATGAAAAAAAAAAGAAGAAAGAATCGAAATTTGATTTTGTGTAAATACGAAAAGGAAAAATATCATGTTAAACTTGAATATATATATATATATAGTTAGTTTCATTTCTATTTTTTTTTTCATCTTATTGTCAGTTTGTTTTGTCTTAATAGAATTGATTATTATATTTTTATTATAGAATTTGTTGCATTCTAATTGCAAATCATTATTATTCTGTTCGCGACTTTTTAAAATTTTATAAGACGTTTTATTTTAGTTCTTCTCAATAATATCTTTTATGTTCTTAAGAGTATATTGTATTATCACTAATTCATATATTTTGTAAAAATTATTTCATAATTCATAAACTTAAAAATGACTAAATAATTTCATAACAAGAACTATCTTATACTTCATAGTAACTATATTTGCTTATGTAATTGTTATTATACTTTCTAAAAAATTTACTAAACGTGGATATTGATCTAGGAATATAGTTCCATCACTTGCAACAATATCATTATTAATAGTTTAATTTTTATATTTAAGTAATCGCACTTGTTTACCAAAACTACTAATGATAAACAACTATGTAATAAAATAAGTTACTAGTGATACACTTATATAATCGGGTATTAGCTGTCTAATTCCCAAACAAGGCCAAACAATACCCCATCAGCCAAAAACAGAATCAGCAAATAAAGTAAAATGGATAATCACCTTAACATAGAAAGCAAAAAGTAAATAAATAAATAAATAAATAAGAGCCAGCTTTGCTTTTCATTTTCTGTTCATAAATACTGCAGTGTGTGACCTCTGCTTCACTCAGTTAGCGTGGGTTGGTTGCTTTTCTTTTCTTGGGCTCTGTTTGGCTTGTGCTATTGGCAACACCCCCAATGGCCTCCTTTTCCTCCTATTTCCCTTCTCTTGTCTTTCTCCTGCTTTGCTCCCAACAGTTGCTTCTCTGCGGTGCCTACCCAGCCAAACGCGGCCCCCATCGTCACCCTCGCTTTGCCTCCCACAACTACAGAGATGCCCTCACCAAATCTATCTTGTTCTTTGAGGGCCAAAGGTCGGGAAAATTACCTCCTTCACAAAGGGTCAGCTGGAGAAAAGACTCTGGCCTTTCAGATGGAGCCGCTATGCACGTACGTCTTTTGTTTTCCCTCTCATTTTGGTCTAAAAGATGCTGCATTTTTGTTCGTTTTTGTTAGGTTAGCAGTGTAGGTAATTTTCTCCGTGTTTGAGTAATTTTTTGCCCTCAAAATGGTGTGTTATTGGTGTTTTTAGGTTTTATTAACTATCTTGGTTGAGAGAGTGAAGAAAGTTACGAACTTTATGGTGGACACTAACTGAAAATTTACAATGTGGGTTTTCTTTCTCCGTGTTTCATAATCTTTTCGTGTTAATCTTTTCGTGTATTTGTCTTCATTATATACTCGGAGTATTGTGTCTGAAGATTTGAAGTGGGATTTTTTTTCTGATTTTTTTTCATTGTTGTGGGTTTTGCTTAACTTTTTGACTGGAAAATGGTAAGGCACCTACAATTCTTGATTACTATCCTGGTATTTCGAGGTATTATGTCTGAGAAAGAAAGATTTGAACTGTTTTTTGCATATTTTTGTAATTTGACATATGAATGGGAAATGCAGGTGGATTTAGTGGGAGGGTACTATGATGCAGGGGACAACGTGAAGTTCGGGTTCCCAATGGCGTTCACAACGACAATGCTTTCATGGAGTGTGATTGAGTTTGGTGGGCTTATGAAAGGTGAACTGGGCCATGCTAAGGAGGCCATCCGCTGGGCCACTGACTATCTTCTCAAGGCCACTGCTCATCCAGACACCATTTATGTTCAGGTAATCCTTTACCTTTCTTATTTCAACTACAATATTCCTGAAAATCCCTTAATGTGTAATATGTATACATTGTTTGGCTTGACTTGAAAAGGAAAATGAGGGCTTTTCTGAACATGGAGGTGAAAAAGATTGGATTTTGAAATTGTTTTGATAATTGCAGGTGGGAGATGCTACAAAAGATCATGCTTGTTGGGAGAGGCCTGAGGACATGGATACTCCAAGGAGTGTTTTCAAGATTGACAAAAATACCCCTGGCACTGAGGTAGCTGCTGAAACAGCTGCAGCTCTTGCAGCTGCTTCTTTGGTCTTCAGAAAATGTGATCCTACTTACTCCAAGCTCCTTGCCAGGAGGGCCATTAGGGTACACAACTGGTCTTTTTTTTTTTTTTTTCAAAATTTTACCTCAAAAATTCCTTGAAGTTGCCAATTCTTGTTTGTATACTTTATATTGCTCTTGTAATTAAACCCCTTTTGTTTTCTGGTTTTTCACAGGTGTTCCAGTTTGCTGATAAGTACAGAGGTCCTTACAGTAGTGGCCTGAAACCATTTGTTTGCCCATATTACTGTGATTTTTCTGGGTATCAGGTAGCAATTCCAGTTCTTGAAAGTTGAAATTCTACTAATAAACATTGTATTGGTTCAAAATGGGTGTTGAGAATGAAAATCAATTGTTTTTGAAGGATGAGCTATTGTGGGGTGCTGCTTGGTTACACAGAGCAACAAGAAATCCAACTTATCTGTCCTACATTCAAGCCAATGGACAAACACTTGGAGCTGATGAATCTGATTTCACATTTGGATGGGACAATAAACATGTTGGAGCCAGAATCTTGCTTTCCAAGGTTATATATATAATGTTTCATATTTGACTGGACACAACAAATTGATTTGTGAAAAGTGATATATGTGTTTTTGTTTTTATTTTTTTTTTTTGGTCAGGCATTTCTTGTCCAAAGTGTTCAGCCTCTCCACGATTACAAAAGTCACGCAGATAGCTACATTTGCTCTCTTATCCCCGGGACCCCATTCTCCACTGCTCAGTACACTCGAGGTTCGTTTTTTGTCCAACAAATAATTAATTAACAGAAATACTGAAAAGAAACTCTCCCATTTGCTCAAATATCACAAATGCCCTAAAAATGCAATCTTTTGTTGTGGGACTAATTTAATTTTTGGATTTATAGGCGGGCTTTTGTTCAAGATGAACGATAGCAACATGCAATACGTGACTTCAACGTCTTTCTTGCTCGTGACCTATGCCAAGTACCTCACCACCGCACGCACAACAGTCAAATGTGGCGCGAACATCATCACCCCAAAGAAGCTAAGGGCATTTGCCAAAAAACAGGCAAGCCGCCAAATTTAATCAATTTCCCACCCATAAATTTCAAAATGATCAATTTCTTGTTAATAAATCCTCTGTTATTATTACATTTGCTTAGGTGGACTACTTGCTAGGTGCCAACCCTTTGAAGATGTCCTTCATGGTGGGCTACGGCCCACGGTATCCCCAAAGGATCCACCACAGGGGATCCTCCCTCCCTTCAATATTGGCCCACCCTTCGAAAATCCAGTGCTCTCCGGGCTTTGGCTTCTACAATTCCGAAAGCCCGAATCCCAATCTCTTGATAGGAGCAGTTGTGGGTGGGCCCGACCAGAATGACCGTTTTCCGGATCAACGGACGGATTACGAGCAATCTGAGCCGGCCACCTATATAAACGCGCCACTTGTCGGAGCCTTGGCTTACCTGGCGCACTCGTTCGGCCAGCTCTAGATGATCGAGACTCGGTTTTCCCCCCATTATTATTATTAATCGATATTATTTTGGATTTAGTATTATTAACTATTTTAGTAGTCCCTTTTTGGCGCCAAAAAAAAAAATGTTTATTTAAGGGTGTTTGGCTCCAAAATCTTAATTTAAGTCAAAACTATGTCGTTTAGTAGTTGTAATTTGATTTAACTATTTAAGTGTGTGTGTTTGGCTGGCGGGGCGAGAAAAACAAGGAGGGGCTTCGAGCCAATAGCCATACAGTGCGAGCACAGCTTGGCATTGTTTTTATATTAGGCTTTAGTTTATTTCAGTAAGTTAAGTTATATATATATATATATATATGAAGTGTGGGGATGAACGCGAGTTTCGTGCCATAAACGGCGCATTTGGCTCAATTAGCCTGAAAATTGCATTGGCCATTGAGCTTGTTTCCTTGTGATGATTTCTTTTATCTTCCTTTGGGACTTGTACTGTGTGTCCTTTAGTGCTTCAACTTCAGTTAACGAATATTAATCATCCAAACCTTTTTTCTCCTTTGTTGCGAATATTAATCATCTCAAAATTGTTAAATGAAATGAATTCGTGAGTTTGGTTAGACTCGTTTGATAAATGAGTTCAAACTTTTTTAAAGTTTATGTAGCTAACGAGTTGAGATGGTTATAATTCGAAATTAAAGAAGTTTTATGTAATTATTTGAATATTTTATCTTAGTGTTTGACTCAAATTTATTTGTTAAAATTATAGTTCGACTAAATGAGATGATCTTAAACTCATTTATCAACTCATTTAGTCTACCAGGAGAGCAGAGGTTGTTCGATTCTCGAAATCAAGTATCAAAAGATTGAATTTGATTCAGACTTGTTTTAGTAAAATTGGGGGAAATAAGCAGCTAAAAATTTATTCAAGTGGGCACACCAGATTGTGTGGACTGTGGAGTGTTACAGTTTTATTTGTGGTGAAGTGAAACGTAGATGGGCCCAATATTTGACCGTTAGATTCCAAAAGAAGAAAAAAATAAGGTTTTGGCGGGAGTTAAAACGGCGTGTGGCATGTGAGGGCGTACAAGGATTAATAGAGAGGCACGTGGTCAAAAGCTGCAGGAGGGCTGTACTGTGTCAGAAAGCGCCTCGACTTTTGGAAGACCAAATTCATCAGTGTGCTTTTTAGTCTTTAGGGTCTATTTAATTGAATTAATCTACTCTTACTTGATTAGGGTAAATTATAAATATACAATACGTGACAACTCAGTAAAGCAATTAAATGAAATTAGAGAAAAAAAAAAAGAAAAAAAAAGAGAGAGAGGAGGAAGAATGGCAATTCATGGCAACCCCTCATATCTAAGAGGTTTTAATCTCATTCATTCGGCACACGCACATTGCAACCAGAGATGTTCCAGTGGCCGAAAACCTAACCGAGTCTGGTGTGTCTCTGATGTAGGGATGTTATTCGATTCGTCATGAAATTTGTGTTTCTATTTTAGAGTTCGTTTTGTGATTTCTTTAGGTCTCCTTGATAGAATTTTTACCCCTTTAAAGGCATGTGCGGATTCAAGGGGTTGGGTTCAGACTTAGTTTTGATTTTCTTGATGTCAGTTAACATCTCGATTGTATTTTTTTTNACATATTCGAATCAAAATTCATGGTTCACCATAATCACTAGTGGGTCAAATCATACAAAATGAAAGAAGAAACAGAAAATATTAAAATGAAAGTGGGTCTAAACATGGGCTGAGCTGCGTAGATGAAGATGCTACAAATTTATGGATAATATCGGGCTTGCTTGTTTACCAATTTATTTAAAAAAAAAATTAAATCTCAACTTAAAATCTAATTTAATTTTTATACAATCTCAGTATATTCAATGTTATCAATATAATTAATTAATATCAATTAATCATTTTTACACATTACATAAACTCTAATTTATTATTTATCTACTTACATAATTTTAATTATGTATCACTCTCAATCATCTATCTCATACCTTTTATATCAAATCAATTTTAATCATTTTATTTTAAATACTATTTCGATACAAACTGATTTGGCGGTTTTCTAGGACACATGTGCATCCACGTAGGATAAATCGAGGGATAGTCAGCACCTACCGGTAAAATTTGGTAACTTCTAGGTACATTGCGCACGAATTTTGAGTTTAATAAATTGTTGTCCTGTTTTGTCAAACGAAAAAGAAGTTACCCACATTTGCCACACAACACAAATTATAAGGCACAAAATACAATTTTACCAATTCACAAATTAGCTTGTTTGGTAAAGAACTTATTGGTTTAACTTTTTTTTAACTCAAAATGCTATTTCTGAATAAACTCAACATTGAAGCGATTTGAGAATAGACGATTCAAAGAATAACATGTCAATATAAAATTTTCAAAATAGAAATTGATATAGCATATAGAGTAGCTTGGATGGACCATAGGTAACTCGAGTTGAATGGTCATAAGGCCTTATAGCTTGAAAGTTACGAGGACCTCTTAACAACTCATAAAGGAGCTGGCAACCTGCTGCATCTCATGGAGGTTGCGACCTCTTAATAACTTGGGGAAGTAGCGACTTCTTGATAACTCGTGGAGCCTGGATTACCTCATAATAATTTATGGGGGTATTATCGACCTAGGGATAGTTTACGTGTTATCGACCTATGGGCAGTACATGTGATTGACCTGTGGGCAATTTATGTATGATTGACCTATGTGTACTTTACGTGTTACCAACCTATGGACAGTCTACATGTGATTGACTCGTAGGCAATTTGTGTATGATTGACCTATGGGCAGTTTACGTGGTACCACCCTATGGGCAGTCTACATGTGATTGGCCTATGGGCAGTTTATGTATGATTGACCCATGGGCAGTTTACATGTTATCAATCTGTAGACAATACATATCCATGGTCGAGCTCTGAACAGTTGACCATACGGAGATTGATATGACGGATATTATGGAGGATAATCCTAGAATAATCTTTAGTCTTGAAGATAAGATTGGGAGAATTGCGGGCAGATCTTGGGCAATAAGATTGGGCAGATCTTAGACAACAAGATACTCGAACAGTTACATCGGGCAAATCTTGAGCAACAAAGTAAAAATCCTACTATAAAGACTGTTTAGGTATGAAAGGGTAGATCTTCTCTCTCTAGCTTTTCAATATACATATACTTATTATATTTTATATTGAAAAACTCACTTGATCGTCAGAAGTCTATTGTCGGGGAACATCCTTGACGTGTTTTGTAGGATATTTCAAAGATTAAACTGGTTCGAGGTCATTATGAAGTAGATTCAAACAGAAATTGCTCATCGGCTATATAATCCACTATTTATTACTTACTAATTACAAACAACCAATACACTATACTAGTCAAATAAAATAAGCTATTATAATCCTGTATTGATTAATGTATTGATGGCCAGGAACATTTCAATTCAGGTCAAGCCCGTCAAATTAAGTAGTCAACAAGTCAAAACGAGGAACCAACCAAACAAAGTTACAAACATGATGCTCTCCCAGGTTATGACCACTAAAAATAGCAGAGGAACAGAATGAAAAAACAATTGTGAATCACACAAATTCATGGCAGCAACAACGTAGGACATGCAACGCCGTACATGAAAAACACACTATGGATAGCCATCCAAATCTCATATTCTAACGCTACTTTGCATTAAGGGAGCAGGAAAAAAAAAAAAAAAAAAAAAAAAAAAAAAAAAAATACATTCCCACGAAGTCTTACGCTTTAATAAAAAAATCGTCTTTAACGTACGGCCGCATTATGACAATTTCACGAGGCGGCCGCCACGCGACTAATAATGCCCAGGCATCATCATCATGTCTAATTACAGTTTTGTGCGCATCAATTTTGTTCACGATTAACGGTGTTCGATGCGACCCTGTCCACACACACCGTGGCCTGATTGGCGAGGCAGTTTTTGACGTCACCAAGTTTGGAGCCAAAGCCGATGGCAGAACAGACAATGCAATGGTGAGATTATATATGTTTCGTGTGTTATTATGATAATATTGTGATTAATGTGTTCGTGTCAAATGTCCAATTAAGTGAAATGCATAACACAAATACAAGTTGTGATGATGATCAATTGTGAAAGACAAAAATGCATTTTTAGTCCTGCTGTTTAAAGGTCATAGCAATTTTAGTCTCAATGTTCCAACATTTCGTTTTTTTATCCTGTTATTTAATATTTTCCTGCAATTTCAGTCCTTTGAGGACTAGAATTCAACAAGTTCTCAAATTCTCAGATTTTCGATTAGCAATTTAAGTCTCGTAGTTTGAAATTTTGTTGCAATTTCAGTCATGTGATTTAATATTTTGCTGCAATTTTAGTCTTCATTGCTGCAAAATATTAAATCACAAGACCGAAATGAAAATATTTAGAATTTTAGGACTAAAATTGCTATGTTGTTAAACAAACAAACTTAAAAATGCATTTTTGATATATGTGAAATTGATCCTTTTGTTATATACTACATGATCTATTTTTTTTTTTCGTCAAACATCTCCATTCTATTCGCTTTCGCTTGTGGAACCTATTTCACGAAATATTGAGTTTAATAATGAAATTTGCAGTCGATTATAAGAGCTTGGCAAGCCGCGTGCCGCAGTGTGGGACCCGCGAAGGTCCTGATACCCAGGGGCCAATTCGTGGCCTCGGAGATCATTTTCGCGGGACCCTGCGTGGCTAGAAAGCCGATAGTCATCGAGATCCAAGGCAACGTGCTTGCGTACGATGACCTGAGTAGCTACTCGAGCGGTGCTTGGATAATGGTGCAAAAAGTCGACGGAATCCTCATCACTGGCGGAGGAACCATCAACGGCCGCGGCAGGGAAGCCTGGCAGTACAATAGTCAAGGTGGCCCTCTTCTTCCAGTGGTAAGTCCTTTTTTNATAGCAAATTTGGTTTTATTGGATTATGAAGATAGCAATTTAGATCTAGTGGAGTGACGTATATTATTTGAAGTCCTGTAATTTAAAGTTTTGCTATATTTTTCGGTCCTTTGGCTATAAAAATTCTCAACTTATATATTTGGGACGGGTTTTGTAATGGTAAAAGGACTGAACTGCAACGAAAATTTAAATTAATTATACTTAAGTTGTTATATGTCATTCTAGCGGACCTAAATTGCTACGTTCATAATCTAACAGGACCAAAATTGCAATTTAACACCTTTTTTTTTTCTTTCATTTCAAAACAAGTTTTTGAAAAAATTGATATCCAAAATTGCCATCTAAGTATTTTCTGTTTTGTTCGACTGAGCAGTCGATGGTATTTCAGACGGTGCAAAATGGGCAGATAAACTTCCTAAACTTTGTGGACAGCATGGGTTTCCACCTCAAGGTGACCGACAGCACCAACATTATCGTATCGAACCTGAAGATACAAGCGCCTGCAGCAAGCCCCAACACAGATGGGATCCACCTCAGCAGCAACATTAATGTCAAAGTCACAGACATCTATATTGGCACAGGGGATGACTGTGTCTCGGTCGGCCATGGCAACCAAAACATCCTCATAGCCAGGGTCACTTGCGGCCCTGGCCACGGCCTCAGGTATGTACATAACAGTGACTTAGCAAATGCAAAAGTGAAATATAGTTATTTTTTTGTGAAAGTATTCATAATCATTTTGCCCTGTGCAATGACACAATTACCATTACTACTAGAAATTGAGAATATGTGATTCCATAAATGATTTCTCTATAAACTAGTAAATTTGTGAGGAAATTGAATTTTATATGAACTTCTAAATCTTTTTTATTCCCCATACATTTGGCATGTGTGGTCAGTGTCGGGAGCCTGGGTAAACGACCGGACGAGACTAACCTGAAAGGAGTGACCATAATCAACTGCACGGTCAATGGGGCAACAAACGGCGCGCGAATCAAAACCTACCGGGCATCTCCCCAGTTATCTGCTTCCACCATTTATTTCGATAACATTGTCATGAACGGAGTTGCAAACCCGATCATCATTGATCAGAATTATGCTTCCAAGAAGAAACGCCAGGTAGATTTTTCACAAATGTGCACATTTTCATTAGAAAATATTGTATTTTAACACAATATAACGGGTCGACACGTCTAATGGTAAATTCGATTTGCAGGCATCTAATGTGAGGCTAAGTGATATCCACTTTAGAAACATAAGGGGCACGACAACTTCACCAGTTGCGGTCTCTCTCAACTGCAGCTCGACGTACCCTTGCACGGGGGTCGAGCTATCCAACATTGATCTAAGGCCCGCTGGCCGCATGGGCCCAGTCAGGACCGCTTGCTCCAATGCTAAGTTCTTTGTGAAGGGGAGAATTAACCCAGGCCCTGCTATGTGTACATAGGCTCTTTTGTTTTTTTGGCCAGCACCATCAATTTATCCCCAAAATTAAAGAGATGGGATTATATAGAGATTTTTTCGGAGTTGTGAAAAAAAATATGGAAAAAGAAATGCATGATGTACTGTAGGAGAAAAAAAAAAAAGGATAATAATAATTTTTCTTTTCGTGGTATCTTAAGCTCAAGTGATTAGAAGGCTTGACACCGTGTGTGTGAACTTATGTATAATATCAACTCCGAAAGTATATGGGGGAAAAAAACAATTGGGCCTTACAATGGTTGTTCTTTTACTTTTTATTTTTTATTTTTTTATTTTTTTGGTTGTATTTGAGTTGATGAAATTTAGAAATTGGAGCAACCGATGTAGCATCAGGGGACTCGAAGACTTGATCTTATTCAGGCAGCAAGTCCATGAATCCAATTAGTCCTACAGAAAATAATGCAATAATAATGTCATTTTATATTTTTATTTTTTCTATATTAAAATGGCGGGGCCGAAAATTTAAACGGAACAGTTTCCTCAAATTTAAACCAATCATACATCATTTGCTAAGACACACTAAATGTATATTAACATTTTCCATGAAGGAAAAATGTAGTAAGACCATCTCTAATGGAAATTGTGTTGTATGACATGGAGAAGGGGAATTAAAAAATTTTGTCTCTTATGATTAGTGTTAATTGTGATGTGTAAAATTGTAATTGGTTAGAGAATAGAGAGAAATTGAATAAATAATATAATATATAGTAAAAGTTGTCTAGAAGGACTTCTACATCTAGAAAGCTTCTAGACATTTTCCATGACACGTAAGAATTTTTATGCCATGTGGCAATAATGTAAAGCAATGGAAATATCATTGGAGATGCTCTAACTGCAAGTCCACTTATAACTATACATGGCCACGGGTCAACCGGCCCGCCGACCCGGCCCTGACCCGACTCGGACCCGGACGGGTCAAACCCGTTGACCACGGGTCCAAGACCGGCCGGATTTCATAGTCCTTTCCTATTTTTTTTTTTTATTTTTTTCTATTGTTTTTTCAAAAAAGCCCGGACACGACCCAACCCGGAACACGACCCGGCTCGGACACGGACCTGACACGAGTATAGGTCCGTGCCGGTTCAGGGTCAGTGTTTTCGAGCCCGGCGGGCCAGGCCGGGCCATGACCCGGCCCGAGTTTTGGCCACGTCTACTTATAACTAACCAATTATAATTTTGAAGCAAATTATAATTTTAGTCTTGTATGTATTAGAAATTAATAAATATTCCTACAAATACCGGTTTTGACTTTTGAAAATCGTCCTGGTATACGAACAACTTGCAACTTCATCCACGACCTGCTAAAAAATAGTCCCGGCGATTCTCAAATTTTTGGCGGGTTGAGGTCGAAATTGCAACCTTCACCATACATAAGGGACACTTTTCGTGAAGGACTATTTTGTTAATTTTTTGAACATGCAGGACTAAAATGGCAACTTGGCCTTATAATTTAAATTTCTCTATATAGAAATACAACATGTTTCAACCATACGTGTCCAATTTTTTGCTTTTGTAACTAACTAGTTATAATTTATAAATCTCCCTATATATAAATACAGAATGTTTCGACCCTACGTGTCGAATTCTGGTGTTTCGTATAGGGGGCAGACGCAGACTCGTAAGATTGAGGGGCACAAAAGTAACGAAAGTGCCAAAAGAAAAAATGATATTTATTCTTTGCATATTCTTATATATTATATTATTCATAATTATATAAATTTAAATTTCATTAAATATATCTTTTTCAAATACCAATTTTTTTTTTTATATTGGATATTTTTACAACATCAGCATTTGTGGATTTCTTTATAATAAAGACAAATATTTTATTAGTTAAAATATCAATGACAAACACAATTTAAAGTAGCTAATTTTAAACTTATAATTATAATTTTAAGAATACCTAAAATTCAATATGTATCCAAATCAATATTGACTTTTGTGGAAAATCGACGTAACTCATTTATATGTCTTGACTACAACATAATACAAATACAAAATACAAACAACTTAAATGTTAAGAAAATCTCTTAATAATTATTTTACAATATAATTATATATGTACTAATTTTTTAAAAAAATTGCACAGAGGCCCGTGCCTGTCCGCCCCTGGTTTCGTATCATGTGTCAATTTCGGTTGGTTCAAGTAGTCCATTATGATGTTTCGTATCATGTGTCCAATTTTTATAGATAATATATATAAAACCCAACCGAACTCAATTCAATCCAACTCAATAGTAAGAAAATATTTCTCTCTCTCCATCTACAGAACCTAACCTTTACAACCCAACATATTTTTATCTCCAACTCAACCCAACCTAATATTTATTTTATTTTTATTTATTTACTAAATATTATCTACAATTGATTTTTTGTTATTGTTTTAGTTGTGATAAATTAATTAAAAAATCTATAATAAAGTCGTAATGATTTCAAAAAATTAATATTTTACCATACAATTAAAAAAATTATAAACCTGATCGCGTGTTGCGACGTGGCAAATTTAAATTTGTAAAGTTTACCTTGATTAACCTCCACTAACTAGTAGTAGAGGCAAGTAAAGGTCGATCCCACGAGGAGCAGGAATTATATTTTGACTATTCCCATATTAATCGGATTAAAACTAGGAAAGCATTAAAAAGGGTGGGGTGGGGGATTAATTTTATAAAAATAATAATAACGAAAGAAACAAAAATTAAATAAAATGAGAGAAATTCAGTTTTTCGGTTCAGTTATCCCTCAATCTACCGATAATTAATTTCAACGTCTTCTTTAAATTGCTAACGAATTACCAACCCTAGCTAACAACAAACTCTGTTAACTGAATTTTCCCTTACCGAATACTCAATCGAAATAAATTTTTCGACTAAACCTAACTAGTGGACAACCTAAAATAACCTCTCTAGACTTAATACACTAGTATCATTAATTTTTAGGGAAATAAATTAGTCTAAGCAACGGACGCGAAAGCTCGGACTATTTAACTTCTGTTCCTGCTACCCTAGAGATGCACGATCCCTAGTTTACTACTAATGAAATTATGGATTAATGCAGAGCCGGTCCTGAAAAATTAGAGGCCTTGGACAAAATGATAAATAGTGCCCATATTATTTTATAATTCATAAATAATTTATCATATTATAAAAAAATATTGAAGAATGAAAATTATAACAAAGTTATAAAATTTTATAAAAAAAAAAGTTGACAAGTGCTAGCGCCTATCAATTAAATTAATTTTTTGACAAAAATAATTAGTGAAGTGCGTCGAGGCTTCATTTCCTCGAATTTCTAGGAACAGACTTGGTGACAATAATAGTAAAACCTTGTGTTTGCTTTTACAAAAATGGAGTTTTCAAATAAATTATACATTAAATATTCCTGTCTATTTTTTTACTACTTTTTGTAAATATTTTCTCTTTATATGTATATATATACACATAGATATAATGAAAATATAACAATATAATAAATGTGAGAGAAAAATAAATTATTTACTAATAATAACTAATAATTAAATGTATGTAAGTAACTCATAATAAGAATTTGTTATTCCTTTTTATTAGATATTGAAAATAGAATAATATATTATAAGAGAGAAAAAATGTGGCAAATTTGGCGAAAAAAAGAGAAAAACATAATTAAAATTGAACAGTTAATATTTTTGTCAACACTCAACACAAGTAAGTCAACTGATAAATAAATTTGGCAAATTGATTAATTTTTGTTTTAAAAAAAATTAATATGAAAATTGGATACAATTTTTTGAAACAAGTCTTTAGCGGGCTAGGCTAGACAATTTATGTACAAACCTCATACCTATACAAGCTCATAACAAAGTTGTAAAATACTAATTAACATAGCTTAAAGTAGTTGGTTATTAGTAAAATATTAAACTCAAAAGCCCAAACATAATAACCATGTTCATGCGACATTTTAAGGCCCCATTTTATTATAAGGCCCAAACATAATAATCATAAGAATAAGAAAGAATTACCCCCTCCACCAACAAGTTTCTTATTTATACATATTAACGATAGGAAAAAGTTAAATTCCTTTTGAATCTAATAATACCTTGAAAATGAGATACCAAATATTTATATTTCACATTTATGAATTGTTGACGAAACCTGATTTATTAATTAATTAATAGATTAAAAAAATGTAACAAACTTAATATTGGAAAGTGCAATCTCTTTCATTTTCACCGTTTCCACTTCCCAAAACAAAATATTTGTCCTCTTTTCCATTTTGAACAAAATCAAACCCTGGAAACAAATCAAATTCACCGTCTTCATCTGGCACCCTAAGAATAATCACTTTGGTGCCCCTCAAATTTGTTGGCCCTGGGTGGGCCCTGGGTGGTCACCCTGCTGGCCCTGCCCCAGGGCCGGTCCTGGATTAAAGCTTCGTCCTTAGAATTAAACTATGAATCGAAACGATTACAATAACAATTATGGATTAAAACTTCATCCCTAGCAATTAAAGTATGAATATTTAACGTAGCTGACCAAACTAAATCAAACACTCATAATTCATAAACATTAAACACATATAGCATGAATCAACACAATCAAAACGATTACAATAATAATTATGGATTAAAGCTTCATCCCTAGAAATTAAAGTATGAATATTTAATGTAGCAGGCTAAACTAAATCAAACACTCATAATTCATAAACATTAAACACAGATAGCATGAATCAACACATCAACAAAAATAAACACGGCGTCTTTGTCAAATTTTTGATTATCGGGGCATCAAGGGTGCGGTCCCACATAGTGAAGCGCACCATAAGAGGGTGAGCCTAGTTGCACCATAGTGAGGTTCCATCCAAAAACCAATTGGTGATGGGAGGAGGAGTCCACTAGGCTTATATAATAGACTCATTTACCCTATCAAACCGATGTGGGACAACTCACAAGTGATATTCCAACAGTATTAATTAACCAACGATAAATAAAAATCATTCAATCCATAGACAAATCGAAATTAGGGTTCAAATATTTTTCTAGATAAATACTAACCTAACATACTGTTGTCGTATAAATTTGTAACAACATCATACAGGCAGTTAATACATAAATTAACACGGTAAAGAAAGATAATATGAGATTTTTGTTAAATATTTTGCTCCTCAACCTCAACCTTTTCGCTCCTACTCCGTGCAGCGCGCCGACCGGCGTGACGACATCCCGACCGCCTCAGACCAGTTGCCCGCATCTCGCGCATTAAGCAAGGTTGAATCTGCATAGGCGAGCGTCCACTCGACCAACTGCAGCTCGCTATCAGTCGTGAGTGAGCTATCCTCCGCCGGTAGCCCTGGATTACCGTAGCGACCATGCAAGCCAAGCGACAGCCAAAAGCTTTCGTTGAACCGTCGCACTCGTCCCGGAGCTTCTCGATTGAGGCGGCAGTGACGTCAGTTTTTGGACTTAGTGATGTGTAGGGATTAGAGATTACATATGAACATAATTTCTTTTTAGGATTGTGGTATAATTATAAATAAATATTATAATTAATATATGTGCAATTACTAGAAAAAGCTACAATATATGTTTAAAAGAGCCATCTGTTTTTTGACAATTTCTTTATTTCTTATGCAACAACCACCAAGGCAAGGCTTATACTAGACATGGCCAAAACTCGGGTCGGATCGTGGGCCGATGGGGTAAAAAATAATGACTCTGAACCGGCACGGATCTATACTCGTGCCAGGTTCGTGTCCGGTCCGGGTCAGGTCTGGGCAGAGTCCGTTACTTTTTTAAAAAACAATAGAAAAAAAAAAAAATAGAAAAGGAGGATCATTGACCCGACCCGGCCCGAACCCGTCGTGCCGGACTCGTGGTCAACGAGTTTGACCGGTCCGGGTCCGTGTCGGGTCCGGACTGGGTCAGGGCCGAGTCAGCGGAGCGGGCGGCCCTTTGGCCATGTGTAGCTTATACTTTTTAAACACTGCCATGAGCAAGAGAAAAACAACATTATTACGCTAAGTGCCACGTGTTGAGGTCTGACGCCGTGTTAGTACATCCACGTTCCCCTTCCACAGTCAGCACTCAGCACAACACAATCCATAATTTTTTTTTTCATGAAATCCACTTAAACCACACCTAGCAATTTCCACCTACAAAACCAGTAAACCTTTATATTTTATTTTTTATTATAATTATTCGATCAAACAATATAAATTGAAGGGGAAAAAAAAAAACGCAAAATATCTTTACCATACGGCAATTGTGTGGCCTCGACTGAAAATCCATTCTATCTCTCTCATTATCTTCACTACCTTCTTTCAATCTGAATCCTCTCTAACTCCGCCGTAAATCGCCGAATTTCCAAACTTCTTCCGCCACAATCACTGTTAATCGCCTGCCACACAGATACGGCGGCGCATAGAAACGGTTATTATTCCGATTTATTGAGCTTGGTAGTCGGCTTTTGTTGTGATTGCTGTTGTAAAGGTGCTGTCGTTTGCTGTTCAATGACTGGCTCTTTGACCTGTGCTTCGGTTTAGAAATGGCTTCTCCTTTTTTAACGTCAGGTGATGTTATCGGATATTTGTATGATTCCTCTGTTTCGGTGAAGATTTTGGTTCCTTAATTTTTCTGAGTATTTTCTTTTCTTTTTATATGCTGATTCTAGGAGGCATTTAATTTCCGAAGGTTTTCAATGCGTGAAAATGTTTATGTTTATTCAAATGTTGTGGTGTGCTCTTGGAGCTTCTATGATTGACTTGTTTTATGATATTTGTTTGGTGAACTCTCCTGACAGTGTCTGTAGATTTTGCCGAAGGTTTTCAACGTGTTAAACTGTTTATGTTAATTCAGATGATGTGGTGTGCTTGGAGTTTGTATGATTGAGTTGATTTATTGATATTGTGTTTGGTGAACTCTATTGGCAGTGTCTGTAGAATGTGTGAACGTATGTAAGCTTTGGAAAGGGGACGTGAGTGGAAAATATGAGTGCAGTATGCTATCGTGCGCGTCAAGAGCTCCAAGAGTGCTGACCGGATTCATGGCAAGCACGGCTCATCCTCCCCAGCCGTGTGGAAGCATTGGCAGAAGAAATCACATTGGATGTGTGAGTTTTTTTATTCAAGATTTTGATAAGTATAGGACACTGGCCATTATCAATATATTATATTTCTGAAGCGACTAGTGAGGTTAATGTTTTGCGTGGCCTTCGGTAATCTCTTGTTCTCTTAGAGTTGAAGGTGTTGGGGTGCCAGTGTGTTAGGAACTTAGGAATGTGTGGGGAGGATTTGATATAAATAACAATCATGTAAATTTTTGTGCCTATAATTTAATCATGGCAAGAGTTGAATAGTCGTCTTGTTCTGCAGGATAACCGTTTGTACCTATACTGTAGTTGCAGTTTGTGTAGATAATTCCTTCATTTCTTTTCTTTTTTTAATTCAGTAGTTTCGTTTTCAGTCTCTTAACTATCAACATTCATGCATTACTTTTGTGCTAGAGATGTGAAGAAAGTAACTGGAGACTGCGGTGCTCATACGAGGCCTCAAATTTTCCCATTTCAAAGAAGCCTTGCAGCTCAAGCACCACGGTTCGTGGCAGCAGCAACTGGAAGTTATATTGTTCTCCGATATCTTTTTCTACAGAACATTATGAGGTTACGCCAGACACCCTGTGGGAGGTACGCGGAAAAAAATTGGGGATGATGTTTTGGTGATTCCTGATACAATGAATTCCTCTGAGAAGTGCAAAAATAGAACCTTTAGAAGATGACTTTTTATAAAGGGTAAATTAGAAGTTTGGAAGCCTGTACAGAACACTTTTATAGTGGAAATTAGTGTCATAAAAGTAAAGAGAATTGGAATTAGAGGTCAAGATTTGTAGTTAAATTCACAGTGTGGTTTGCCATAAAAAGCATATGGAATGGAAATGATCTAGTTGTTGAGGTGAATTATGCTTGTACGTAATAGTTTAGCCTCATGTTGAGACGTTTCGGCACAAAGGATGACTTGTATAGAATCCCTAGACTACTGGATCTGGTCCTGAATTATTGTTAAAAACATAATGGTCTAATCCTAATTTGTAGCTAAATAGTAGTTCCTACAGCTCATTAAGATGATGAATATTGTTTATCGTCCAATGCAACATTGAGAAAATTGCCTGCTGCATCAATGCCTTAAATAGAGTCATTCCATCTATAGCACACTGATTTCATATTGTGAATGATATACATGGTTGTTTACGCTCGCAGGATCTTAGATCTTGCATCTCATATCTTCCTTCAAGGGAACAACAATTGGTCCGTAAAGCCCTGAATGTAAGTTTATATTGATCTTATTGTGTACGTCTACGTGTTTTGTAAATTTCAAAACATTAACGTACTTGGATGCTCACATTTATAATTTATACTGATGTCTTTTCTGGATACGTATTTATGTTTTCATTTGCTTTATAGTTGGCTTTTAAGGCTCATGATGGTCAAAAAAGACGCAGTGGAGAGCCCTTTATTATTCACCCTGTTGCAGTTGCTCAGATTCTTGGAGAACTTGTGAGTTATGCAGATATTTTCCATTTGCTTCTGTGTACATAGATGCATACCATCTTGGTTCATCTGCTGAATTATGGTCACATCTTTACTCGGCTTCTCTGTGTCAGGAATTGGATTGGGAGTCAATAGCCGCTGGTTTGTTACATGATACGGTGGAGGATACAAATGTTGTTACTTTTGAAAGAATAGAGGAAGAGTTTGGCATCACTGTTCGTCGCATCGTGGAAGGGGAGACAAAGGTAGTTCAATATGTTAAGCTTCTTGCATAAGCCTCTCTCTCTCTCTCTCTGTCTCTCTCTCCCTCTCACTTTCTCCATAAAACATTGAGTCTATAAATGCTTTAGTAAAGTAGAAAAAACTAGTTTCATGTGTGCCTTATCGAGTTGAAGATAAAGTGGGTTGTTATAGATGATCATTTCCTACATGTTGTGATTTATTTATGCTAACCAGGTATCTAAACTTGGAAAACTCAAATCAAAGGATGAGAACAATTCCGTTCAAGATGTTAAAGCAGATGACCTCCATCAGATGTTTCTGGCTATGACTGAAGAGGTAACTTACATTTTTTAAGCATACTTCAGCAAATTTCTGTTTAATATGTCCTCAACAATAAAGTTATGGTGTATCAGGTCCGTGTTATAATTGTCAAATTGGCTGACAGATTACACAACATGAGAACTCTTTCACATATGCCTCCACATAAGCAGGTATGTCTTTTTGCGTTTTTATCTCACCTTAATTTAGATCCAACCCTAATATTCATTTATTATTTTCAGTCCAGTATAGCTAAGGAGACCCTGCAGGTTTTTGCTCCGCTAGCGAAACTGCTTGGAATTTACCAGATAAAGGTAAGCCATTTTTATCCTGTTGATTGTATAACTCCTTAGTCCAGAAGTAATTTATGTTTTTTTGTTATCATAGCTAAAATATTATTCGAGCCTTGGCATTCTCGACTAGGCTGCATATCTAAACTTTATAATTACTAAGATTCAGGGGTCAGCAGCGGAGACTCAAAAAGATTGTTCAGTTTAATGAAACTAATCTTGATTCTAGATCTTTTTTAATATTTATATTTAAATCAGTTTGTTTCAGTTCCTGAACAAATGATAATTGGTTTCTGTTTGGAGGTTTTAGTTTGACTATCCTTTCCAATGACTTTTCTATTCATGGTGGCACTAGAAGTTTTGCATATTGAATTGCAATGAAACTGCATTAGGAGTTGGTTTCTGTAATTTAAATAGCTAGGGGTGCATAGCTCGTTGAGAACTGGATTGTTAAACCTTTTACTTTCTGCATGTGCAATTTTCTGATAAATCACGCCGTTCACATTCAGGCATCTTAATCTTCAAGTAATATAATATAAATTATTTAATTTACATTTTCTAGCCTCTCTCTGAATNACTTTTCTCCCATTCATTAAATTCTAATGATAACTTATTTCCTTCCCTTAATTACCTACCCAAGAACTTAAAATTGTTAACATACCTGTTATGTCTCTCTTGTCATATTGCATGATATCTGCTTTCCATATTGGTTGTGATCCATCTCTTTAAGTTTGTATATGTGGAATACTCCACTCGTTGTATTGCATGAGGTATGCTTCCCATATTGGTTACGTCCATCTCTTTAAGTTTGTCTCTGTTGAATTTTGTACTCATCTTTAAGTTCTCCTTGCAGTCTGAACTTGAAAATCTGGCATTTATGTACACAAATCCTCAAGATCATGTGAAGATCAAGAGAAGAGTGGCAGAGCTTGACCGAGAACATGAAAAAGACATCAAAGAGGTAAGATTTTTTAGTTAACTGGGACTCCTGTTGTCAGTAGTGCTCCCATTTGGCAGCCTTGCCTGTGCATTTGTTGATAATTAGATTTTGCTTTAATGCTACATATTTTCTTTAATGAGTTGGCCAATCTTGTTCATTTCTCATTCAATTAGGCAAATGAAATTTTAATGACGAGGATTGAGGATGACCAATTCTTGAACCTATTGGCTGTGAAAACTGAAATTCGGCCCGTGTGCAAGGAACCGTACAGGTACTTAGTTGATTTTTCCGTACTAGATTTTCTAGTCCTTCGACTTAGTAAACTTTTTGTTCAGTGCATGTTCTCCTATTAATGTAAAGTTATATTTAGGGCTTGAATCACTACCAATTTTTAATGCAATATCTGGGGTCGGAAATAGAAATATATACTGATGTCTTCGTCCGTGTATATAAATGTAATGTTCAAATGGCTCTAATTTGTCTTTTGGTCACATGCAGCATCTATAAAGCAGTTATTAAATCTGAAAGCTCGATAAATGAAGTTAACCAGATTGCCCAGGTATATCATTTTAGCTTATTCTAGTTATGTAGTTGATGAGCCAATCTGCAACTATTTCTTACGTATGCAAATGTCTGACACACAGCTTCGTATTATTATTAAACCAAAGCCGTGCATTGGAGTTGGGCCTCTATGTAGCACACAACAGGTGAAAATATGTGGAGGCTTACAACATCTTATTGAAGTGGAATTCCTTTGCACCTTTTTTCCTAACTCTAATTTGTGTTGCAGATATGTTACCATGTTCTTGGACTGGTCCATGGCATTTGGACCCCAATCCCGCGAGCTGTATGTTCTCTAATCTCTAAGTGTTGCTTATGAGATACTTTTAGTATGTATGCCTCCATCTAGCATATGAACATTGTTATATTTCTCTTATGGTAGCAGATGAAGGATTATATTGCCACTCCAAAGCCTAACGGCTATCAAAGTCTCCATACTACTGTGATTCCGTTTCTTTACGCGAGCATGTTTAGACTTGAAGTTCAGGTTTGGCGTTATGGTTGTTTATACTTTGAGTTACATCTTTATGTATATTGTGTGTTAGGAAGAAATTCCTCTTTGTCACATTACTTTTTGGTTGGCAGATTAGAACTGAAGAGATGGATTTGATTGCTGAAAGAGGGATTGCCACTCATTATAGTGGCAAAGTTTTTGTGAATGGCTTGGTCAGACATGTTATACCAAATGGCTCCAGAGCAAAAACAGTTTGCCTTAATAATGCTAATGTTGCTCTCAGGGTACGATGCTTTGCTCTCAGTTTCTTGCATTTCAGAATCGTCCTATGCGTCTTTCCCCGTTGCAGTCTCGTTTTTTCAGTAACCAACTCTTTAATGCCTTCCTCTCTCTAGATTGGCTGGCTCAACGCAATAAGGGAGTGGCAAGAAGAATTTGTTGGGAATATGAGCTCTAGGGAATTCGTAGATACAGTAACCAAGGATCTTTTAGGAAGTCGCGTCTTTGTATTTACACCGAGAGGAGAGGCAAGATTGTTGTGATTCACCCCTTGAAAATTGAACTGCATTTAACATATGATTGATAAAAAATTGTCTGCTCACAGATTAAAAATCTGCCCAAAGGGGCAACTGTCGTTGACTATGCGTATATGATCCACACTGAAATTGGAAATAAAATGCTTGCGGCAAAGGTATTTTCATAATTAGTTTAAACTCTGCTGTATGAACTACTTTGCTTTTATCCTTTTCCATTGATTTGTTAATCTTGCCCCCAATGCTTTGCAGGTCAATGGCAATATCGTCTCGCCTACACATGTGCTTGCGAATGCAGAAGTAGTGGAGATCGTAACATATAATGTCAGTTAGTTTGAATTAATCTCAGTATTTTATTATTTCACGATATGGCTAGCTTAAGCTGTAATCCGTCACGTAGCTGATGTATTTGCGGTAACAGGGGCTTTCTAGTAAATCTGCCTTCCACAGACACAAGCAGTGGCTCCAACATGCCAAAACACGTAGCGCCAGACACAAGATAATGAAAGTAGGTTTACTTGGTGATAACTGATAAAAATATCTATATCAAACTACTCTCTCTCTCTCTCTCTCTCTCTCTCTCTCCCTCTCTCTCTCTCTCTGTGTGTGTCGTTATAATTATCTCTGATCATATTGTTATCAGTTTCTGAGGGAACAAGCTACATTATCGGCCACAGAAATAACTGCTGATTCGGTTAAGGAATTAGTCGGTGAATTTAAAGCGAAAAACGAAGTCCAAGATGTTGTAAATTACTCCAAAGGGGCTAAGCACGCGTGTGAGCAGATTTTGAGAAACGCTATGCAAACAACATCATCAGCAACAAATGATGAAGGTATATTTCGATTGGATGGGGGTGGCATTAAGTTCCCAAAAATTAATGGGAAGCATAGCAAGAGTATGCAGAACGTGAATTTGAAAGCCAAGGGAGAGGTACTATCTCAGGGAAATGGTGTTGCCGAGATGATTTTCTCCAATATCCCTGTGTACAGAGAAGTCTTGCCGGGCTTAGAGAGCTGGCAAGCTAACAAGATTATGTCTTGGCACAAACTCGAAGGGAACTCCATCCAGTGGTTGTGCATAATCTGCATAGACCGTAAAGGTAACCTTCGAAATTTATGCTACTTGACTTTGAGTCACACTCACAGTATTAATCATCATTTGTTTTTTTCTTGGTTATTTTCAAAATTTTAATGTCCAATGACACTATCAGGCGTGATGGCTGAAATCACAACAACACTTGCAGCTATGGGAATTTCTATATGTTCTTGTGCTGTGAGTTCAGAATGATGACACGATGACATCATTTTTATTTTTTATTTTTATTTTTTTACTAGAGATACAATTTTGACACAATTTTAACGGTGGCCTGAAATTGGCAGGCAGAAATCGACCGAGAAAAAGGAATAGGTGTCATGTTGTTTCACGTCGAAGCTAGTTTAGACAATTTGGTGCGTCTCGAAAACCAAAAATTGCTAGTGTTTTTTCTCATTTGATTCTGAATTCTAACATTAGATGTTATTCCCCATTTTCTCAGGCAAGTGCGTGTTCCAAGGTAGATTTAATTCTTGGTGTTCTTGGGTGGTCAACTGGTTGCAGCTGGCTGAGCTTGAATGAGAACCATCAGTTTCTAGAGTGTTAGTCTTTGGTCGGGATGACTGTATAGCTTTATCAGCTGCTGAAAAATGTTCCGAAAAAAAAGTTTTGTTTACAGAGAACAGAGTTTTTCTCTTTCTTTTTTTGTTGTTTGGGGAGGAAGGGTCGATAGGATGAAACTCATTGTTTAGGGAAAGGTTTTCGCTGTTTTCTTCTAAAATTCTTTTGAAACCTATTTGTAAATCAGTGAAAGTGTACTAGCAAGTCTTTGAGGGGTCTAGGGACTGTATATAAAAGGAAGAGTGGTAGATAGTAGAGTAAGTGAAGTATATATACATGTAAAAAGGATCTTTACGCTTTGAGACGGGCAAAATTATTTCAACCGGGTGACAGTTTACCATATGTTCCATATAGCTTTTAGGATGTGGTCCCTTGCCCTTTTAAACTGTTACTACCTTCCTCATTTGTTTGTGTATGATGTATATGGATATAATTTGTGTAGTCTTTCTACCTCCTCTAATCCAGATTCAGGATTCTGCTTATCATTCTATCTGAATAATAAAGGTGAGTTACCTATAATTTTTCATTTTACACTTAAAAGGGTATACTCAATTGAAACTCTTGAAAACTTTTTAATATTTATTTAAAGTGAGTGACTTTGATGGATTTTGTGAAATTTAATGACTTTGGTAGATATTATGAGATTTTCATAGAATTTTTATCAGAAACTTTAAAACTTGAAACTTTCATGATGTGCATTTTTAAATTTATTGAGACTTATATATTTCCAATATAATTATTGTGTTTGCATGAAATGTTCATGAACCTTGCATCATAATTAATGTCAATAAAATCAAGATATTTTTTTTTCACAAAATATGAAATTGAATGGATTATGATTCTAAACACTTTATATNGTACCATTACAATTGTGTAAGTAAAAGATAAAGTAAAAAATGGATAAGTATATTGTTATTCGAACTGAGAAATTCACTAACACAACTTGGTTATGCTCGTGAAAATTAATGCTCGGCTCATTTGTTTTCTTAAATGAATCGACCTTCAACAACTAATCGAGTTTGGTTAATAGACAAACAAAAGTGAGTGTTCACGAACCACTTATTTTTTAATTATGTATTTTTCATAAAATATACAACCGTGTTGAACTTGTTTGAAAATATATTTTATTTTCACGAGCAATTCGTTTAGGGCCTTACGTTTATTAAAAGAGTCAAGTCAATCCAAGCTTTCACGAGGTTCAACGAGTTACTCAAGCGGAGCTTTATATTCATTTATTAAATGAACACAAGCTCAAACATGACTTACTCATGTATAAAAACCAAATATTCGTTTTTGATTTCAGTCCAAATTGAATTCTCGGTTTCGGTCGGTTCGACTCGGTTAACCGAATATTGTGCAACCCTACTTGACCACATGAGTCTTATATAAAAATATATTATAGAAATTTTGTTTGTATCATAAATGACAGACACACCCACAACATTTATTTAGTTTTCTACAAAATTTATTAATTTTTTGTAATAAATTTTTAAATCATTATGCTGCAAATTAGCAACAAAAATTTATTGGTTGTATGTTGTTGGGAAATTAAAAGTCTTTTATAGGAATAAAAGTAAATCCACACCATTTCCTCTTTCTATCAGCAAATTAATGGCGGCCCACTAAAGAGAGTTAGTTAGTAGTATTGGCCATTTATCAGCCCATCAATAGCAGCCCACTTAAGAACGCTCCTGGTAAACCCTAGTGCTTGATATAAAAGCCTATCTTCTCCGCCCCACATTTTTCAGCCTAACTGCACAGCTAACGGAGAGAAGACAGAGAGGAAAAATGGTGTCGATGAAGCTACAGAAGCGGCTCGCCGCCAGCGTGATGAAGTGCGGCAAGGGCAAGGTCTGGCTTGATCCCAATGAAATCAACGAAATCTCCCTGGCTAACTCTCGTAAGCCATAATCCTTTGTCTTTCATCACATACGTGTTAGATAGAGAGCTTGGACTTTTTTCTGCAGTTGTTCCTTTTTCTTTTGGTCCGATATCTTTTCATTTGGGTTCTGATTGTTTTACTGTTTTTCAGTAGGAATTGAATCTTCAGCCTGTTACGCTTTCGTTTTTTTCTGGAGTGAAATTGATATGTTTATCATAGTATGTCGCTGGTTTCCAAGGATTGATCTATATTTTTGCTCTTAATTATGTTACTGCTGTTCTGATTTGCTTAATTTTGTTGTGTGGTGTGCCCTGTTTTTCAAGTTCCAATTTGAAGGTACTTGTGAACTAAGTATGTTAGACTGTATGGTTTTATAATGCTGGATGGTATGATTCCTTCCATTTGGTTTGTGGATGTATTTCCTTTATGATGCGGCTGAAATGGTCTAAGTAGGCAAATGAACTCTCTATAGTCCAATCTGTCAATCAAGTATTTATTTTTTTCACCAAAGCTGTTGCTTTGAAACCTTATCTATTTGCATAATTGAAGATATTGCTGCTGGGGGTATTGTGTATTACGATCAGATTAAACATCACTAGCATTGCTGTACCATTTTCACCTATGTGTTTTTTCGATTGTTCAAATTTGTGCCTGATATCTTTGTTCTGGCTGAAGGTCAAAACATCAGGAAGCTTGTGAAGGATGGGTTCATTATCAGGAAGCCCACCAAGATCCACTCACGATCCCGAGCCCGCCGAATGAAGGAGGCCAAGAGAAAGGGACGTCACTCTGGATATGGTATTGCTTTATATTTGTTTTATTATAGTACCCCTTTTTTACCCAGAAGCTATGATATTTTCTCATCAATATTATCGGGTGTTGTTCACCCTAATGCCAAATTCCTCTTAAAAGTCCAGTTTCTGACTGTGCAATCTGTTCATTTGATGGTTCAATTTAAGATGAGTATGTGGTGCTTTTGTGTTCAACAATTATTTGTGAACGATTCCAGGTAAACGCAAGGGTACCAGGGAGGCTAGGTTGCCCACCAAGGTTCTTTGGATGAGGAGAATGAGAGTTCTGAGGCGCCTCCTTCGCAAGTACCGAGAGGCCAAGAAGATTGATAAGCACATGTACCATGACATGTACATGAAGGTGAAAGGTAATGTTTTCAAGAACAAGCGTGTTTTGATGGAGAGCATTCACAAGTCCAAGGCTGAGAAGGCTAGGGAGAAGACGTTGTCCGACCAGTTTGAGGCTAAGAGGGCAAAGAACAAGGCCAGCAGAGAAAGGAAGATTGCGAGGAGAGAGGAGCGTCTAGCTCAGGTACTTATTACCTGAATCAAATATTGCTGTTGAGTTCAAGTTTTATTCCCTTGTATTGACATAAAATTGCATTTTATTTTTTATCAGCTGGTTTGCTTTGCATTCTATTACGACTTTATAACTTTTATGTTGGTTATGAAAATTTGTTGCCTTTTTATTTATGTAGGGACCGGGAGAGAAGGCAGCGGCAGCTCCTGCACCTACATCTCAGCCAGCTCAGTAAGCCTCCTTTTCTCGTTTATTAAATCTGAAGTTAATTTTGTTATGTGATTGGGCACCAGTTTGACTGCCTGTTATTGTACATGTGATTCAGGGGAACTAAGAAGTCTAAGAAGTGAACTTAAAAGAGCAGCTTTTGGATGATTGGTGGCTCCATGCCATCTCTATGTTTTTGTTTAGTATCCCGTTTTAGTGTTTTTTATATCGCTTTTTATTGTCGGTACTGCATAACTATGTTACCTAATTCAAGGAGTACTAAAATTAAATACCTTTGTTTTGGTTTTGTCATGCTGTTAAGTAGATTATGTTTTACATTATTTTTCTGCCAATGTTCCCGTCTTTAATGAGACGCTGTTGCTGTGTTTGTTTTGTATTAAATATTTGTGGCTCCTTTTTGGGCTTGAAGTTTTCCCTCGTGCTTTTGGGCCTCATGGCTTGGGGTTCAATTTCAGAACTAAAGTCAGTCACTAGGTGAGTATAATTAAAAGAGCCAACGTTCTGTCTTTTGGCCCTCTGTGAGTGATGCCTGAATCAGATGGTGGCTCTTTGTCAAGTCTGTGTTTAGGGAAGAGGAAAAGGGCACCAAATGCTCTATCTGGCTTTAAATCACCTTGAAGGGCCTAGAAAGCACAGCAAGAACTTTAACATTCATAGTGTATATGAGGGAGATCCCTTAATGAATTCATCATTTGAATCCTCATTGGGATTGCTAGAAAGACTAGTTTGAAGTAGGAAAGGTAGGGCCGTATTGCATTACTCTTAGCATTGAAAGGCTTTTACTCACTGTCCTCTTATTTTCTTGCAATAGATACCTATGTAATTGAGAGTTGAGCTCAGTTTCAGCAAATTATCATCTGAAGGCTTGGAAAGAGAGGGGCCAATAAGACATGTTTGGTGTTGCAGAAGAACATTTGGCCCAAGGGTAGTCTCCATGAGGGTATACTCTGAAGAACCATATCTCCAGACATTAAAATGTTCTTATTGCTCTATGTTTGCCTTTGTGAAGAGTAAAGGAACGTGAAAAGCTTGGATCGTTGGTCTTTTGGGGTGCGGATTATAGTATCCCTAAGGGCTATGATGCGACCCTGATTATATTTGGGTCTTTTTGTGGTGGATTATACAGTATTCCTAGGGCTAGGATGTCATCTTGATAGGAAATTGCTCGGTTGCGCTTTCCAACTAGGAAATTACACTTTGCCACCCTGCCCTCAGTCCATTGTTGGCTAGAAATCTAAAATGTTGCTGCTCTATGGCAGAAGACAACTTTTGCCCCTTGCCTTGATATATAGGCTACTCTTGGTAACGGTTTGTTTTCGTTTGTTAAGGGTGAATTGAGTTTATTTCTACAGTCTTGCGCGAAAACAAGGGAAAGAGAATTACAATATGTTTGTAAACATAAAGGATGACATGTTTATCTCTTCATAAAAATGCCTGAGATTTTTCGTATACAATCAATCAGTTAATTTTTGTATAAACTTGTAAATTTCCCTTTAGAATGAAATCGCAAAAAACCTTTGTTTATATTAATTTGTATACAGAATAATTTAAATTTTAGTTTATATGTAACTAATGAGGATCTTATTAGAACAATTTTAATATTAGTTTGTATGTGAATTATCAGAAATATAAAAAGGGTGGTGTTTGTGGTTGTACCTTGTTTGGATGTCCAAACAAACGGAAAGATCATTTGCTGCTGTGGTAGTAGTACAAAGAATACATATTGTCTACAAATGTACAATTTAATAACACAAATGCTACAAAATCCAAATCCCGTTCAGTAAATATATGAATTCAATGTGTCAACAAACAAATATTTATTTATTGTTTGTAAATAATCACTCACAAATCACAATGCACTCAAAGATACAGGTGGAATTTTTACAATTCTAAAGCCTACAACACCGATAATCATGTTATTATTATTTTTTTTTTTCAAAAAAAAGGAGGAACCACCAACACAAGCAGCTGCCATTGTTGCCTTGTTGGTGTGTACGAAAAATCACTCAAAAATCAAAAGAGGAAAAGTAAAATAAAAACAAAAAAATCTACACATTCTCTTTCACTCGAGTTAAAAATTTAGAGGAAGAGGATTTCTCTCTCCTTGCACACATTCTTCTACTTTCTACTCCCATTTTTACGCTTCGTTTCTGTACTCTGTCTTCCTATCCGAGGTGGAAAATGGCCGGCCTCATTAGTCGGTTTTCGGGATGGTGATGGGGCTAATTTCGGGATCATACTCCTGTTACTCAAATCAAAATCCAAAACACATTCATCACAAAAGGCTCGACTAAGACCGCACAATGACACTAAGTAATGAAACAAAATCAATACTTCTTTAACATACTATGAAAACACCGTCTTTTGGTACAAGTGTTGCCTTACGCGAAATTAAAGAACTAATTTTATGCATGAAAGAATAGTGAATAACTTCTAAGTTTAGAGAGTTTAGTTTACCTCAATTCTGGGCTTTTGGATTGTATCAAGTTAGGCTTCTGGACCTTGGGACTAATTCCACTGTTAAAGCTCCCAAGTTTGGAACTATTAAACTGCCACAGCAAATCCGGCTCAGACGAGTCACTTGTTCCAGCATCGAGCTCATCCACCTCGTCAGCACCGTTAATGTCAAATTGATTATTTGCATTAAACAGTCCGAACGGCTTTTCAGGATAATACTTGGATGAATCCAAAAGATATTTCTGATAATTCACATTGGGAACAGTAGTGTTGTCCTCTAGCTTGTTGACCATGAGCTTGTCCACCCAATCGCCCGAGGTTATTTCTCGATCATCGTCTAAATTGGTCTTGCATGGGCTGGTTATGGGAGGCCATGTGGGAGTGTTCCCAAGTAGCTCGTCTAAGTCCAAGCTTTGCCGCTTTTGCCTCATTGCAGTATGGCGGTTAACCTGAGAAGTTAGCTGGGGCCAGAGTTAAATTCAAGAATAATTGGAAAAAAAAAAAAAAGAGAACGAAGGAAAACAAAGCAAAAAAGAACACTTATTACAATTCTATAAATACTACTCAGATATTTATTACTTAGAAAGGAGCTTTCCGGAGAAAAATAGTTTACTATACAGCTACCTCTAAGTTGGCAATATCATCCATTGATTTCCTGAGCACATTAGGTTGGAAAGGAGATGTTTGGATGCCACATGGGCTGCTGCCAGTTATCTTATGCGGCATGGACACTGGTTCACCATCTTTCCTTGCTAACGCGGCCTTGAGACTGGCAATCTATGACATGAAGTTCAGTACTTGAGCTATTTAACTCAATGGGAAAACATAAAATTCAGATCAGATACAAAGAAACAAGAAGAATAAAGAACAAAATAACAAAAATTGGAACCTGCTCTTTAAGCTCTTTAACATCTGCAGAATCCTTGTTAACTCGAGCAGCACCCAGTTCAACAGTAGCAACACGCTCGGCAAATTTGAGTGTACTGATTGTCTCCCCAATGGCATCAGGCTCAGGGCTTATGTGGACAAACATCAGCGTCTTTGCTTGCCCACCTATAAAGAGGAAAAAAAAAAATAAAAAAAATGAAAGGAAAATGTAACTAAAATTATTTGGATAAAACACAATTTAGCAAGTCATTGTAATTTGTACACCCTGCCATCCTTACCGAGCGAGTCTTGGAGCAGTTGGGTGAGTTTGCTATTTCTATATGGAACATGTGAGTTCTTTTGCGCGAGAGATGAGATCACGTCACCAAGTGCCGAAAGAGATTTGTTAATGTGCTGAGCCTCTTTGAGCCGATCACCCGTCACTTCAGATTTGTCGACTCTTTCGCTTCCTGCCAAATCAACTAGATGCATGCAGCCTCGGAGAATACTCCCAGACGCCAAATTTCTTCCTTGGACATGAACCGTTAAACAACTGCCAATTAAGCATGTATTTTTTTTAGTTAAGATGCCACCTTTTTAAAGTGACCATTTAACTTTCAGTTACTCACCTATGTGAACGACTACTTCGGTCATTGAGTGCTGTTGCACCCACAGCACGATTCCTTTGTCCGAGATTCATGAGATCAATAACGTCAGAAGTTGAGGTGACACGAACCAAACTTGCATCTGGTACACTAAGTCTCGTATGAGAACTGTTTCGTATTTCTAATGTAGTCTTAGTGAAGGAATCAGTCAATTAAGTTTCTGATGATAATTATGTTAGAAAAAGCATGATATGTTGAACATTTTTAGCTTCGATGATAATTCTTATTCAAAACAGTAATTGTTTTCTTATATAAGGTATGAAAGGATATCTTCTGCTTAAGCCTTCTGTGTTAAGGAGGTCCCTGACTTGCTCATTATAAATCTCCATCATCTGAACTGAGACATCATAGCAGAAAGTATCCTTTCTTTGCTCAGCAAGGAAGAATAAATCACGCAATGCCCTGTAATTCACTCCTTGACTATGCTCTGTCAGATCCTTAGGTCCAGTCTGGAAAAATATAATACTTTTGCAATAAATATTATCGTTGATTTTCAACAAAGTAATAGATTGTGATGCAAATAAAACAAGAGACATTGTGGCATCTTACCATAGTGTATGTTTTTCCTGATCCTGTTTGGCCGTAAGCAAAAATGCAGACATTATAACCATCAAGGACCGATCTTATAAGCGGCTGGGTGTCAGAAAAGACCTCCTCTGCAAAAGTGACACAGAAATTGTTGTGGACAGATATCTTTTTGCATACTCAAACAACAATAATGTGAAAGAGACTCTAGCCTCAAATGGAGGGGCCTAACCTTGAGTTGCACAAGGCCCAAAGACTTTGTTAAAGTTGAAGGATTTTCGCCCTTTTCCATTCTTAGCAAGAGTGCTTATACTAATAGTCCCATCCTCAATGTGATCAACAGTACTCAAGTGATTATATTGTCCGGGCAGGAATGGCCTGACACGGCAGTAAACTCTAATGTTTCCTGATTGAGTTAAACTTTACGAGGTTAATTTACTTTAGAAAAGAGATAATTCGGAACATCAATATGGTTAAGAAAATATAATCATACCCTTTAGGTCCTGTACTTGATTATAAAGTCTGCAGTTTTCCTCCAGAACTCTATGATAGCCTGAAGCAGCATGGGCAAGTCCATGAATGTGGAGACCTGTAGAGTAAGAGTAAAATCTAGTTTAAGGAAAGTCAGGGAAAATAAAGGAAAGAAAAAGGAGAAAAAAGAGAAATGTCATGCTCCTGACCTAATAGAAAAACACAATAAGCAAATGAAGATAAAAAATTTCGACTCCTTACCAATATTGTGAATTTCTTCATGGAATTTCATTTGCATGAACTGCATACAAGCTTTTGTAGTAGAAAGAGTCTGCTTCAGCACCTAGACCAAATATATGATAAAAGCGCAATTTCAATCTTTCTCTCATTATGAATTCTAAAGAAGAAAGGGATTATGTTAAAGCAGAGGGAAACTACATTCAGTTTCATTATGGTTCTTACGTTAACATCTTTTTGCTGTTGATCAATGATCAATCGCTGCTTTATGAGTCGACCTTCTAATTCTTCATCAATGTGTTTCCTCTGCAGTGCATCGTCTCTCCTCATTGTTGCAACATTCTATCATTAGTCAAATAAGAAAAAGTTCAAATGCTAAATCACCAAGGCACAAATACTCAGAATACAAACAAATAGTAGCAGATTTGTCGTAGATACTTTTCAAAGCATTTAATTCCAGTAGAGTACCTTCACATTGGCTGAAGGAAGCTTTAAGACAGATTTGTTGCCATGGGAAATTGTGGCATCCCGGAAGTTGGCTTTCTTCTGTTACATAAACAAACAAGAAAGAGAAATGAGTGAGAACTCGGGAAAAAATCTCTAATGTGTTAACTCGAGATATTAATGTTCAAGTAATCCAAATTTTCGTTCAAGAATAATGCTCAAAGTTAAGATGTCGATTTTGTTATAAAACAATTAGTAATTCCAAGGGTGCAGAGTGATAGTCAAGAAACAAACTATACCAATTCAAGTTGGCTTGCAATGCGCTGCTCAAACTCCTCAACAAGCTTACTTAATACAGACTCAACAAGCTGAAAAACCAATGTTACGATAGCAACAAATATGTCAGCAAAAAGCAGGAGTCATAAACAAATTCATAGTTCAAAATTTCATGTGAACGAATTCAAAGGAAAAATGAAGAAGGAAAACTAGGAATATAAAAATTTGCTGAAGTATTATAGTTAACTAAACAACATTATTGAAGGACAAAACAAAGATTAATAAATTGATGAGATTGATGGAACCATCATGCAATTTTTAGTTTCTTCTCGACTTTTTATCTACCAAGAGATGTTAAGAATGCACATGTAATTAGAGCTATGCTATAAACTGGCACATGTTACTTACATTAGGGACTTCTTCAGGCTTCTTATCCAATAATATTGAACGAATAAGCATGCTCATTGAAGAATTCGACTGCAAATAGAATGAAAAATCACACAAATTTGGGTCACACAGGCGCTAATGTGGACTGAATCGGGATGAATAAACAACTTACTAACCGTTCTATTAACAGCTGTCTCTAGACATGTACCATTCTGAGATTTCTCATTCATCGAGACACTCCTTGATAGAGAATTTGAGAATGGATCGGAATTTTTACGATTTAACTGTTTCCCGGATGTGTTTGTTTTCACATTTCCACCATATTTCCACACCCCATTTCCTCCTGTCTGTTTCCACTCGCAGTAGGACTGAAGAGCCAAAACACAGTTCACCACCCTTGAAGATTTTCCTCCCTAAAAGAAACAGTCAATTATNCAACGGATGTATGCACTATGCACTGTATATAACTCCAGAAATTTGGTTCGAACAAAGACCGACCTGCTCGAGATCAGAGGCCTCAAAAGTGGGCATTCCCATTTCCTCAACCGCTACTAAGAAATTCCTCACATTCTCAAAGTACTGATAAGCAGATAATGCAGCACCGTCCGGAACATTCGTGGAGTCACATGGACGTTCGACTACCTGAAAACAAGACGACCGACACCATTTTCAACTCATGGCTTAAAGAAAAAGGAGTTTGCGTGTGTGTGAGAGAGAAACTGACCTTTTGTACTGCTCCAGGCTGAATTTTGTTAAGTGCATTGCAGAGAATTATCCCACTTCTTAACCCGAGCCTAAATTCCTCCTCGGAAGGCTCGGCCGGTAAATCCTTAGCGGCCACCACTCCAATCAGCTTTCTCAACCACGCGGCAGCCTCGTATCTTCTTATCGCTGCATTCACAACATTTCACTCAGAACTAAACATTTGATCACAAAATGGCAGCTCCTACATGAAATCGAACATATATACATGCAAATTTACAGATGACATCACATCCATTCCCAATTACAGAGCTTGAAATTTCACGAACAACCTACAGGAGTCCTCTGAAAACTCCCCCGAAAAAAAATGGTGAAATGTTCACAAACTAAGCCTCACAAATTCCAAAAATTACCAGCTTCCTCCGCCTTGCGAGCATCCAAATCGAGCCCACGCGAACGGTTCCCGTGCTGTTGCAGAACATCCTCCACCACCGACGCCACGGAAAAGGCCAGCGAGCTTTCAATCGCCGCCATTCCTCAACTCACTCCCAAAAAAAAAAAAGAAAAACGAAAAATAAACCTTAGAATTTAGTTAGATACTCAATTATAGGGCACATTCACGCGTTAACGAGAGGATGAAGAAAGAGGAAAGTCGATGAGTAAGAGCTTGAGCATCTGTAAAGATAACATACGATAAACAGCATGGAAATGTATGGAAAAAGAATCGTCCGCTTTTGTTCTCACTCCATAACGTTACAGTGAGGCATTGGCCATTGTTGAGCGACTTTCTTCACACACACACTCCCTCTCTCTCTGTACAAACTGGAAAAGAGCTTTGTGCCCTGCTTTCTTTATACTGGGACTGGTAATGCTGTGAAAATGAGTGTGTTGCGCACTTTTTTCGAATATATATATCTTTTGCTTATAACTCACATGATCACGAACCTGGCTCCAAATCGCCAGCCTCGGGAACCAGCTGTTATTTTGTTTAGCCGTATTTAGTAAATGTGTATTAGTTGGTAAATTTAATTGATAGTATTAAAAGTTTTAGTAAAATTAGGCTAATTAGTTAGGGGTAAGGCTACAATCCCGTTACGGAACCATTCCGTTGGGATTTGTAACCGTTAGATCAATTATCATTGACGGTTACTTGATGATCTAACGGTTACAATCCCAACGGAATGGTTCCGTAACGGGATTGTAGCATTTTCCTTAGTTATGAGTCACCTGAAATAAGAATATGATACTTATCAAATATAGCAATTAGCAAGGCCAAAGTCTTATAATTTTGTTTTAAGTGAAAGAGAATTGCTTAAGGCATCTTTCCTCGTCTGTTATTGTGCAAAATAGGACTCAAAATGTTTTTGTTTTGGGAACACTTCATATTAATTACACTTCATTAAATGTCAAAAATCAAACAATATTGTCCAGGAAATAAATCATATAGCTTGTAGTTTTCAAAATAAAATAAATTTTTGTTCTTACCAATGGGGAAAAACACATTATATCCACTTCTCTATATTCAAATTCTTGAATTTATTGGGACAATTACTAAAAATAAAATCACAAACATCCCATGTGGGAAAAGTCTAAAAAGTAAAAACAACTTTCTTGAGTTAAAATTTGTCATTAGTTGGACTTTTGAGCATGTAATTCAAGACATTTGGCTAAGGCTAAAACAACATCTGAGAAATACATTTTACCTAACCCAAATCTTGAAGTAAAGAAGATGCCTACTAAGCAGATTAAAAGAATGAGGAATCCAATAGAGTCGAGTTTGTGGTCTTTATTAAAGGGTTGCTTGTGAGGAGTTAGAGTCAAATTTGATTATTTATGGGATTTTTTTTAACTGTTGGATTAACATACAACGTTGATCTGATGGTTAAATTCTCAATGGATACAGTGTTTATGGGTTATGGTGAAATTCATTAGGTTGTTGACTTAATTTAAAGAGATATATATCTTCAAATAGACTCTCATTCTAGTTTAATTATGCAAACTTAAACATATATGTGCCTTCAAATAGACTCTCATTATACATGCCCTATTTTAAAAATTAACAAAAGATAAAATTATGATATTATATTGTATATGTATACATTTTTGTTTACTGCGTATGATAAATCGATGTGTGTAACTATCAGACTGTCTTACAACAACATATATGATCGGTGAAAATAGAACTTATATTCCATATTCACGGGCAAGAGATGAGTATTAGTGATGAATATTCATTATTTAAATTTGTTTTAAAATAAATTATATACAATGGCACAAGAGTTTGAAGGTAATTCTTCAACCACCTACTGGTTTTTTAATATATATACAATGGCACAGAATTTTATTGGATTATTCTTGGGGTTACTCTTCCCAGTATTGCTTTGCTTTGTCTCCAAGAAGTAGCATTTGGTTGCAGTTTCTATCAACTTTTTGTGGCCTCCCAATAGAATTACATTTGTATGCTGTCACAATGTTTAAATTCAATTAATACTGATCAATGGGATCCCTAAATCCACTTTTGCTAACATTTTGAAAATCTTCCTCAATTCTCAAGTTATATAAGCAATTTTTGTTTACTATTGTTATTATTATCAGTATGGTGAAACAATGGTATTATTTTATTGTGAAAATGACCCAAAATCTGGCACTGTGTCATTTTCAGAAGATCGTGTTCTAGTTGAGAATGGTTAAATATTGAAAATGAGTTCTGATTCTAGAAAATTAAGTCAAGGTCACAACAAACCTCTTACTTTCTTTGAGACCAAGACATTGTACTAAGTAGTTTGATTGTTTAGAATTATTAAATAAAATAGTGTTTGTATAAATTAAATTAATGTAACATAAGTTTATATTTTTAGACAAACTAAGAGTAAGCGGATATATAATAATTTATATCTATATAGTAGAAGAACTAATATCATCATATTTAGCACAAACTTTGGACTAGAAATTTTGTCTATACTTTGACCTATACCCTCTTGGCCAAATTTGTGAACAACACAATTTTATTGATTTATTCTTTTGTTGTAATAGCATTTAATATGAACTAATTGTATTATTAGCTTCACATGATATTAAAATAATTTTTATGAATACCATCTTTACTTAATTTCCAACATATGTATCAATTTATGGTGCTTAATCCTATGTATCGTTTTTTAATGTTTTTGGAGCAGTTAAAGATAGATTTGAGTTTCTATATATTTATGGTGCTTAATTTCCAACATAGGGATTGGTTCCAATGCATCCCATTATTTAAAGTGAGAACGTGAGACTCATTCCTAGCCACAAGATTTAGATCTTGATTTAAATAATAATTTTTTATTTTTATTATTTAATTCTTTATTTTTAATTATTTAAATATTATTATGACCATTGACCGTTGACTCCGGCGTTGACCGTTGACTCCGGCGTTGACTTCCGGCGTTGATCGTTGACTTCCGACATTGACCGTTGACTTCCGGCGTTGACTTTCGACGTTGACCGTTGACCATTTGTCTTTTGTTATGTTATTTCTTTCTTGCTAGGTTAGTTGTTTGTTGTTGCTAGGTTAGTTATTTGTAGCTGCTATGTTAGTTGAGTTTTGTTGCTAGGTTATTTTTTTCTTGCTGCTAGGTTAGTTGTCTTTTGTTGCTAGGTTAGTTCTTTCTT